TAAACGAATTCTAGAACGATTTACTTTAATTCTGCATCAAAATCCTGGCACTTAATATTTTTCAAAATTTTTGTCCATTTTTGTGGGGAGACCCCTGCGAAATGCATGATTTTCATATATGGCCCAGGTCCATGGCTATATCTCAGCCATTTCTTACCCGATTCCCAAGCGGGATACCTTAAACGAATTCTAGAACGATTTACTTTAATTCTGCATCAAAATCCTGGCACTTAATATTTTTCAAAATTGTTGTCCATTTTTGTGGGGAGACCCCTGCGAAATGCATGATTTTCATATATGGCCCAGGTCCATGGCTATATCTCAGCCATTTCTTACCCGATTCCCAAGCAGGATACCTTAAACGAATTCTAGAACGATTTACTTTAATTCTGCATCAAAATCCTGGCACTTAATATTTTTCAAAATGTTTGTCCATTTTTGTGGGGAGACCCCTGCGAAATGCATGATTTCCATATATGGCCCAGGTCCATGGCTATATCTCAGCCATTTCTTACCCGATTCCCAAGCGGGATACCTTAAACGAATTCTAGAACGATTTACTTTAATTCTGCATCAAAATCCTGGCACTTAATATTTTTCAAAATTTTTGTCCATTTTTGTGGGGAGACCCCTGCGAAATGCATGATTTTCATATATGGCCCAGGTCCATGGCTATATCTCAGCCATTTCTTACCCGATTCCCAAGCAGGATACCTTAAACGAATTCTAGAACGATTTACTTTAATTCTGCATCAAAATCCTGGCACTTAATATTTTTCAAAATTTTTGTCCATTTTTGTGGGGAGACCCCTGCGAAATGCATGATTTTCATATATGGCCCAGGTCCATGGCTATATCTCAGCCATTTCTTACCCGATTCCCAAGCGGGATACCTTAAACGAATTCTAGAACGATTTACTTTAATTCTGCGTCAAAATCCTGGCACTTAATATTTTTCAAAATTTTTGTCCATTTTTGTGGGGAGACCCCTGCGAAATGCATGATTTTCATATATGGCCCAGGTCCATGGCTATATCTCAGCCATTTCTTACCCGATTCCCAAGCAGGATACCTTAAACGAATTCTAGAACGATTTACTTTAATTCTGCATCAAAATCCTGGCACTTAATATTTTTCAAAATTTTTGTCCATTTTTGTGGGGAGACCCCTGCGAAATGCATGATTTCCATATATGGCCCAGGTCCATGGCTATATCTCAGCCATTTCTTACCCGATTCCCAAGCGGGATACCTTAAACGAATTCTAGAACGATTTACTTTAATTCTGCATCAAAATCCTGGCACTTAATATTTTTCAAAATTGTTGTCCATTTTTGTGGGGAGACCCCTGCGAAATGCCTGATTTTCATATATGGCCCAGGTCCATGGCTATATCTCAGCCATTTCTTACCCGATTCCCAAGCGGGATACCTTAAACGAATTCTAGAACGATTTACTTTAATTCTGCATCAAAATCCTGGCACTTAATATTTTTCAAAATTTTTGTCCATTTTTGTGGGGAGACCCCTGCGAAATGCATGATTTTCATATATGGGCCAGGTCCATGGCTATATCTCAGCCATTTCTCACCCGATTCCCAAGCGGGATACCTTAAACGAATTCTAGAACGATTTACTTTAATTCTGCATCAAAATCCTGGCACTTAATATTTTTCAAAATTGTTGTCCATTTTTGTGGGGAGACCCCTGCGAAATGCATGATTTTCATATATGGCCCAGGTCCATGGCTATATATCAGCCATTTCTTACCCGATTCCCAAGCAGGATACCTTAAACGAATTCTAGAACGATTTACTTTAATTCTGCATCAAAATCCTGGCACTTAATATTTTTCAAAATTGTTGTCCATTTTTGTGGGGAGACCCCTGCGAAATGCCTGATTTTCATATATGGCCCAGGTCCATGGCTATATCTCAGCCATTTCTTACCCGATTCCCAAGCAGGATACCTTAAACGAATTCTAGAACGATTTACTTTAATTCTGCATCAAAATCCTGGCACTTAATATTTTTCAAAATTTTTGTCCATTTTTGTGGGGAGACCCCTGCGAAATGCATGATTTCCATATATGGCCCAGGTCCATGGCTATATCTCAGCCATTTCTTACCCGATTCCCAAGCGGGATACCTTAAACGAATTCTAGAACGATTTACTTTAATTCTGCATCAAAATCCTGGCACTTAATATTTTTCAAAATTTTTGTCCATTTTTGTGGGGAGACCCCTGCGAAATGCATGATTTTCATATATGGTCCAGGTCCATGGCTATATCTCAGCCATTTCTTACCCGATTCCCAAGCGGGATACCTTAAACGAATTCTAGAACGATTTACTTTAATTCTGCATCAAAATCCTGGCACTTAATATTTTTCAAAATTTTTGTCCGTTTTTTAACCATTTCTTACCCGATTCCCAAGAACCCTTCCTGGCGGCTATTTACGAAAAATCTGAATAGCGGCGACCGAAAACAAGAAAAGCATTTGCGTTTTCCCCTGGATCTGGAAAAGTATATAGGGCTTTCCTTTGTACATTCATACATATGGATGTATGTACATACATATATTAAATATCAAATGTTTGTGTGTGTATATCGTAATAAAACAAGGAAAAACAAAATGAAACAATAAAAAAATTTAAATAATAAGAAAAATCATAAACTTACATTAACGTGATCTTCCAAAGATGGATTACAAGCTCCTATTTATGTATTTACATTCTTTTACATATGTACATGATTAATATGTACATGTATGATTAATTACCGGATAACTGTACACTGGCCGTTGTTGGCTGCAGCCTTAAGCGGCGGATTTACGAACTAACAGAGACACACACAGAACACACACGATTTTTCGAAATGGCGCTCTTTCGAGTTTGATTTAAATTCCACGTTATAACTTTAAAAACTCTTTATAAACTGATTAATCTTATTGAAATAAAATAAAAATGACGCCATTTTTTCCGAGAACTATACACTTATGTAAAAACACCGCTTGAATGCGAAAAGTTGAAGGTATTTCTATTATTTGGCACTCGCGAAGTCAAACAGCCGCGATTCACTTTATTTTTACGCAACAACAACGAAATTAGCTAAACTAATTAATGTTTTAAATATTAGCGTCCTTTGCGTGAAATAAACTCAGATAGAATGGAAAGAACAACGAACGAAACCGTGATAAAGCACAGGACTATAGCGAACTTGCGATCGGCGGCACGGCAATAGTGTGAGAAAGGGCGTAAACAGGCGACGGTCACACTACGGAGGGGTAATTCCAATTAGATGTTTGGCGCGCAATTTAAAATATTTGAAAAAATGACGAAATAATAATTATAATAAAATTAGACTGCAATTCGGATGTAGATAGTAACTATAATTAAATAGAGTTTAAAAATATTACCTCTTATGTCCATTTGAAATGAATCTCTGAAATTGTTGTATTTTTGTTTTTATTTTTCATGTTTATTATGCTCAATTTTTGGTTTTATACTGTTGTTTACGCATGTGATTATATATCTTTTATTTATTCATTTGTCTTTTACCGTTTTTGTGTTTTCTTGGTTTGGGTTTAGTTTACCTTTACAAATAATCATCGTTATGATCGTTTTTCTTATACAATTTCTATGCAATTTTTTCTTCTCATTTTCATAAATATTCCATATATATCCATATATCCATTAAATTTGTTATGCATTTTTTATGTCATTTTCTGTGTTACTTTTCTTTCATTTATAAATAATGTACACCACAAAAAAAAAAAAAACAATTTATTATTTATTAGGTGTTTATGTTTGAATGTTTTCAATTTAATTTCTTTGGTTTTGCTGAAGCTGTTTGTTTTTGGTTTCTTTAGCTTTTTGGTTTGAATATTTTTGTATTTTGTGGGCGTGGTGGGCGTGGCCCTAGCCAAGCAGTGAATGCGGCCGAAATATTCATTGAAATTCAATTTGGAAAAATATTAAGCAAATGTCGCATAGTTTTGTTTTAATAATAGTTTACTTTTCTTTAAATCCCTTATTTTTTGGTTTAGTGGTGTCAGTAGATGGCGTTTTCCTCTGATTTTTGGTGGCCAAAAGCGAGTATTTTACACATACATATACAATACAATAAAATGCAATCTGACTAGCCATCTCTTTCTCTGCTCTTGTTGCCATCTCTTTCTCAAGTGGTCTCCCTCTCTCTATCTCTCTTTTCTGATCTAACGGTAATGCAATCCTATAAGTTACTTTTTTGCTGCAAGCTTTTCTTTATATATATCCTTGTCTTTTAGGTTTTCGGGGTTAACTCTGTCTCTATGGCTATCTCTTTCTTTGCGAATCTGCCCTCTCTTTCTCTGGTTCTCTCTGTCTTCTATATCTATCAACTTGTTTAACGAGTAGTAGCACAATTTTTGGACGAAGATGGTTGAAATCGAAGCGTCTAAGTAAGTGTAAGTGTTCTTTTCTTTAATTTTGCTTTCTTTTTTTTTTTTGGGTTTCTTTGCTAAACTAAATCCTTGATCGGGGAATGAGTGGGTGTGTATGAGTGTGAGTGTTACATATATATATATATATATAGGTTATACAACTATCAAAATTTACTCGGCTATGTGTGCGAGTAGAAAACGAAACACTGCATTTTCTATTAGTATTCTTTCATTTCTTAAGCTTCTTCTAAACTTTCCAGGTTTATATATAAATATATATATAGAGTGCTATATAGTGAGTTGGTTATATCAAAAAGAGCTGCCTGTCTTTCTTCTTGTGTTTTTTTATACAATTAATATTTTTGAAAGCATTTTTTGGGGATTTTTTTTAAGGAGGGCGGGTAGAACTGCAATTCTGTAATCCTTCGAGTGTCGCCTTTCAACTAAGCTAAGGACGTTTTCGCAAAAAGGTCATCGTTTATGTCCTTATATGAACATCCTTTTTCTTTTATTAACTATTATACTAAGCTGTTTTTTTTTTTTTTGCAAAAAAGGCGTGCCTTGTTGTGTGCTTTTTGCCTCTTATTTGTCGTTTTTTTTTTAGTTTCGCGCCTCACAAAAAAAAATGAATATATATGTAGTATATAGTATATAGTTTATATAATATATATATAGGTGAGCTAAATCATATTCTCCTAAACCTATACACGCATATACATTCATATATATTTATATACTCTCTTTCTCTCACCGACTATCTCTTTCTATGTTCCTGTTGCTTTCTCTTTCTATACGTATGGGTATGTTGTTTTTCTCTTTTCTTTAAATATATATACTAAATATCGTAATATCCTTAAATGTTTTCTTGGGGCTTTCTCCTTTCATTTCTATAGTTAACAATAGAGGCCGTTTATTATCCTGGCGCTGGCTTAAATATAAATGGGATTCTCCTGGCCGGTGAGCAGCCGGAACATGGACGTGGGCATGGTCTTCATGAGTATCTACAATACGGAGATAGTTGTTTAGATTTGTTTAGTATTTATAGGGCTTATTAGAAGCTTACCTCCCCCACGGATGTGGCCAGCAAGTTGACTATCTTCTCGTGGGGCACAGCCACCACGCTCTGGTTGTTGATCTCGATGATGCGGTGACCCACACGGACGCCACCCCTCTCAGCAATGCCGCCCCTCAACAGGCTGCAGATCTTTTAAAAATAATTAAATTATAATCTTTATAAGAGTCTTTTAAGTCTTTTACTTACCACTCCATTCTGGACACTGAATCCTAGCTGATATTTGGTCTCCGGGCGTTTGATCTTCACCTCCACGACAGGAGCACAGGGCACCACCGTGAACTTGACCACCGTCTGGTTTTTGGTGTTCTTGATGTACGTCTGGCAGGTGGACAGGGGGAGACCCACGAGACTCAGACCATTGATGGCTATCAACTGATCCCCGATATTCAACTGGCCACATCGAGCCGCTGCCCCACTGGACATCAGATTGGCAATTACCACCGTGGGCAGCATGCTGCCCCAACCAGACTCCACGATGACTACGCCTAGGATTTCCCCCTTAGACTTGGGGACCACCACCTCCTTCTGGAGCTCCTTTTTCGCAAAGATCTCGAGCTCATCGCCAAAGATCTCCTGGCTGTTGAGCACCTCCTGGTAGTCCATCTCCTTGACGAAGCGATGGTCCTCGATGCCGTTGGCCTTGAGGAACTCCATGTAGGCCACCTGGAAAGCCTGGCCAATGGACTGGGCTATGAACTGGGCCTCGTCGCTCTCGAAGACGTGGCATATCATTTTCGGAGTGCGATTCGGTTTGGGCGCATCATCGATGTCCTGGGGCACGAACCGGCGGCGGGCCATCAGTACGACCAGATCCCCGATATCGGCTATATAGGATATGGTACGCAGGGCGTGATCCATCATGATCTCCTTCAGATCGGTGTTCAACACCATTATCTTTTCCGTCGAAATGAATAGATCCACCTCGGTGCTGGGCTGGACATCGCCATCGGGAGCCTAGAAGTCGATTAAAAAATTGTTAAGAAATATTTCAAATTATGAAAAACGTAAAAAATATATCAAAGATTAAAAAAAATGAAGCTTGGCTTTTTTGAGTCAAAATAAAATAGTATTAGCGGGCCAAAGGTCAAGGAGCCAATTGATTTCTGGCAAATCAGGCTAAAAGGTGAAGGGTGTTTTTTATTTATTTTTTACTTACCAAGGCCTATTTAGCATTTAATAGTTTTATTTTTATTTTTTATTTCATCACAGATGCATATGCGAAGGCGGGAAACGGAGCATTTTGTTTTTTTTGTTTTTTTGATGTGAAGGAGGTGGTGGATGCATGAAAGTAAAAATTAAAAAAATAATTAATGACTGTATCTTCTTCTGTTTTTTTTTTGGTTTTTTTTTTTCAATTAAATCCTTTAATCTAAGCTAAGCTTTTTGGGTATGGAAGTGGGCGGGGCAGGGCAGGGCGGGGAATCAAAAAATAGCTGCGGAATTTTGGAAATTCAAAAATAAGTCTAGAAGCTTGGATTGTTACAGGGGAGCTTACAAAAATGATTTAAAAATTAGATTTATAAAAACAAAAGCCCATAATTTTGTAGAAATTTTACTCTTAAAATATGTACAAGCCTCCTCTGTAACCATCTATTTTTTTAGCTTCCTTGTGACAGGACATCTTGCCAGGACCTTAATTAACTACAAAAATACACAAATCGCAACTCAAACTGATCGAAGCAATCGATCGAGTCGGGCTAGCATTACGTTTAAAATAATATTCTAAGAATAATAAGGTCTGGCCAGACTGGAGCCTGAAGGACCTTACCTTGATCCTGGAGACGGCTTCTTCGGCCTGCATCATGCGCGTCGACTTGGTGGGCTGTCCTTCGCAGACCAGCTGCGTGGAGCCCAGGTACTTGGCCCGGAAGAGAACGCCCTCGATGAGCACTGCACCGCCTGAGGTCGATAGGAGGATGTCCGTGAGAGGAGGATGTCCGTAAGAGGAGGGTGTCCGTGGATGGAGGAGGAAGAGTGAGAAAAATTCGTGTTAGAAATATTTTTGTAGAATATCTAGGATTTATAGAGTACATGTGGAGTTTTCAAGTGGTTAGTGTATGTGCTAGTGCTTGTTTTTGTATGTCTTGTCCGTTAGGTTGTCCGCCTAAGAGAGAATTGGCTCATAACTTGGTTATTTCGAAAGCTAGAGTCTTTAAAATTAAAAAAATAATGAAATAAATAATTATATTTAAAGTCCTAATCATTAAAGTTTCATAGTAACAAGTATCTACAGGAATATTCGTTTTTAAACGTTTATTCGTTATTTCGTTATTTTTTTTCGTTATTTTTGTCCGTCCAAGAGAGGGTTTGCTTATAACTTGATGAAAACAAGAGCTACAGGCTTGAATCTAGTTTTAGAAAATGAAAAAAAAATATTAAATTAAGAAAATGCAAATTCTTAAAGGTTTCAATAATACTACTAGACACTACTAGTTTTCCAGACTTTCTTTAATTTAAAAATGTAAAATTTTTAAGGAACTTAAAACTGCCTCAATGTCTGTGTCTTGTGTTTTGGTTTCTTCATGTTAGTGTTGTTGTAACTTACTAACTAAATACATATTAAAATTTGTATCTTACAAAGTATTTTATTTTTTAATTGTACACACACACAGACACAGTTAAAATGAAGAGTACATTTTGTTTTTTTGATTTGATTTGATTGGATTGAATTATTGATTGATTGATTTGGTTGAACGATTGAACGAACGACGCATGCAAAAATACGCAAAAAAAGTAAATTGCGAAAGAATAAAGAGAAATGATAGAATAATTAATTAAATACAATTTGTTTTTGATCATATTAGAATATTACGCACAATATATATATCAACACATTTTTGGTTTTTTCTGTTTAGCTATTTACGCTGTTTGGATCACAATTATATAGTGGATATTACGATATATATATATTACGATTATGGAATAACAATCGAACGAAGGTCAAAGGCCAAAGCGCATTTACCTTCTTTGCTCTTACTCTTTTTCACTTTTTTCTCGCCGCTGCCGCTGCCACTGCCGCTGTTGCTGCCTGCGCCGCTGGTGTTGTTGTTGTTGTTGCTATTATTGTTGTTGGTGTTGTTGCCCGTGGTGGGGTTGCTGTTGCCAGAGCCATTGTTGTTGTTGTGGTTGGTCGTGGTGGTCGCCACTCCATTGGCCAGAAGCCCAATACCCCCGCCAACACCACCATTGCTGGCATTTTCGTTTTGAGCTTGATTCCCAGATCCAGTGCCCGAGCCGGCACCCGAGCCAGCTCCTCCTCCTCCGCCGAGGGATCGCTCGGAGCCACCGCCATTGCCAGGACTGCCTGGGGAACCGGCCGCCGCCACAGCCGCCACCGCGGAGGCCACCACATCCACCGTTCCGGCACAGACATCGGTGCTGGGCAGCTTCGTCGGCGACTTGTCGCTGTGCTCCGACGAGGAGCTCCTCGACAGGCTCCTCTGTACCATGCCACCGACCAGGTCCAGCAGCTTGCCCCCGTTGCCGCTGCCCACCAGCGAGCCCAGGCCCAGGCCCTGGCTCTTGGGCGGTATCGGCGGCGGAGGCGGCAGCTCCGGCGTGGAGCTCAACAGGGCGTTGTAGCCGTTCCGGGTCTTGGTGCTGGGCTGCTTCGGGGAGATCTTGGAGAGCAGCGACCGCGGCTTGCGGCTCTCCCAGCTCTTGTTCTCGTCGTAGTAGCCCTGATCGTCCAGCCGCTGATGGCCCAGCAGGCGATCCGTCTCCAAGTCGGTGTCCACATCCTCCTCATCGGCGCTGTGGCTCTTCGAGTGGTTCGAATGATCCACCACGGATCCTCCGCCGCCACCACCACCGCTGACAGTGCCCCCCTGCTCCAAGTGCCGCGACAGCCAGACAGGCGAGCTGAGTCCCTGCGGCGAGGGGGAGCGCTGACTGGCGGCGATCTGGAGGTTGCTACGCTCGGGTATGGGTGGTGGCATGCCACTGCCGTTGGCGCCGTTGCTGCTGCAGTTGCTGCCGGCGCTGCGTGGCTTTCCGTTTCCGGTGGGGGAGCTGCGTTGCAGGGTGCTGCTGATGGCCGCCGCCAGGGGTGTGTGCTTGCTGCTGGGCTGCAGCAGATCCACATCGTTGTTGCAGTTGCTGTTCGGAGTGGTTGCCCCACCGGCCGTGGGCTTGCGATGCGGCGCCGGGGCAGGCGGCGGTGGTGTCATCTGCACCGTATCCGGTCGATGGAAAACACCTGAAAAGTACAGATATTCAATAGCGGAAGTCCTTTGAGGATTGAGGGATCTACTCACTAATGGAGTACAGGGAATCCAGTTCCGGATCAATGTTCTTGAACACTTTGCTGTGGTTGCTGGGACTCTGGCCCAGGAGCGGTGGCTGCGACTGCGGCGGCTGTTGGGACTGCGTCTTCGCCAGCCCATTGCTGGGACTCGGTGTGGTCATCCCGATGACCCCGTGGTTGTGACCTCCGCCGTTGCTGTCCGTGGTGGAGGCCGTCAGGTTGTGCATACTGTTCAGGCTGTTGTTGGTGGAGATGCGTTTCATGTTCATGAGCATGGAGATGCCGCCGCTGCCACCGATGCTGGTGCTGCCGCTCAAGCTAGTCGGGCATTGCTGCTGCTGCTGCTGCTGTTGCAGGTTCTTGTTGTTGTTGTTCTCGGTGTCGCTGGTGTGGCCGGAGGAGAGGCCATCCTCTAGGACGGGCATGGCCGAGGCGTAGTACTTGGCGTAGTTCGAACAGGATGTGGAAACTCCTCCATTCATTTCCCCCGACAGACCTAAAGCTTGAAGGATTAGTTTCTTGATTTTGGGAGCAACGTTTCGGGAAACACTTACTGTCCAAGTCCCCGCAATTGGAATCATAGTCGGTGGTCTCCGGGGAGTAGCGGTAGTTGTGTCCCCCGCCCGACACGACGCCCACTCCACCGCCCAGGCCGCCCTGACCGCTGCCGGTGCTCAGCAGCTGATTTGGGTCACCGTCTCGCTCGCCGCTGCTCCGGCTGGCCGAGTCCAGGAAGAAATCAAAGTCCCGCATTAGTGGACTACCGCTGTAGTGGCGCCTTGCCACGCCTACGTGCGCCGGCTGCTGCTGGGTCTGCGCCTGCCCGTAGCCTCCATAGACATGCCGCTCGACGGTGGCCGCCCCACTGGTGGGCACCTGTTGGAGTTGCAGCTGCTGTTGCTGGTGGCGATAATTCTGCTCTAGATGATCCTGATCCAGGCCATCGTCATCGTCCTCAGCCTCGTCGTTCTCCTCGTCGGCGTCCTCGTCGGCCTCGTCCTCGTCCTCAGCCTCCTCCTCCTCGGCCAGATCCTCGTCCTCTCGCTCAAAGTTGCTGTGGAACTCGTACTGGATATCCTGAAAGATGGATAGCGTGTCAAACCTGGACATCGAATTCGTTGGAAAATACTCACAATACTATCCACATCACTGCCGTTCTCCATGATCGGTTGCTCGTCGGTGGAGGGGCACTTGAAGAACTCCTCCAGGACCTTGCGCGTCTCCGAGAACTCGTACAGATAGTCGAAGGTGGAGGACTTGGTGTGCAAGCTGAGCGGTCCCAGGCCGCCCGACATGCCGTTGCTAGTGCCCTGACCCGCTGCCGCTGGCGGGGAGGCGGCTGCCACCTGAGGGGGGGTGGCGGCCCTACTGGCCACCTCGGATGTGGCAAGACCGCCACCGCCAGCAAGGACCACGGCGGCCACAGCCTCGGGAGTGGTGAGATCCGAAATGGTTCCGATCTCTGAAACATCATTGCTGGTGTCCTCTGCGTTGTTGTCACTGCTAAGCTGTTGTTGCAGTTGTTGTTGTTGCTGTTGTTGTTGCAACTGTTGTTGTTGCTGCAGTTGCTGTTGTTGTTGCAGTTGCTGCTGCTGCTGCTGCGGCTTGTTGTTGCCGCTCATCAGGCTGCTGAAGTGTTGCTGTTGCAACTGTTGCTGCTGTTGCTGTGGGGGAGGGGATGTGCTGCGTATCTCACGATGTGGTGGCGATATAATCCTCTAAAAATAATATAAATTTAATAGATAATGATATTAATTAATCTTTCAAGTCCCCCCACCTGTGGAAAGCCCGGACGCACGGGATAAGCTTGCAAGGGCTGCTGGGGCGGTTGGTTGCCGAAGGAGAGGCTGTGACCTTGCGGGGCATGACCCTGAGGCGCATGTGGACGACTGTGGTTGTGTGGATGGTGCTGCGGATGCCCCTGGGTCTGCGCCAGAGCAGCCAACGCAGCCCGGGCCGCTGTCTTCTGTAAGGAAGTCGCCGTGTTGCTGAGTGGCGTCACTGTCGCCATGGGCAACTGTGGCTGCTGTTGCTGCTGCTGCAGATGTTGCTGTGCTGCTCCTACTGATGCTGCTGCTGCTGCTGTTGCTGCTGCTGGTGGTTCACTTTCGTCCGCTGTGGCTGTTGCTGCCGCCGCTGCTGCTGCTGCCGCCGCTGCCATGGCTCCCATGTTATTGGTGGCGACTCCAATACGCCTCGGCGAGCCTTCATATTCTATTTATTTAAAAAAAAACGCATTAATATTTTGCAAAATATATTTTTGAGGAGCATTACCTATAATGCCATGTCGCGATTCCACGGCCAGCGTGTAGTTTCGCTCCAACTGCCAGGCATCCCGGTAGAGAGTTCCCTCCTGGTTGTGGACTTGGTTCTGGTTCTGGAGCTGATTCTGGCCAAGGATATTGTGGCCGAGGGTCTGGGACTTTTCCGTCAGCTTGCCAGCCTCATCGTTCATTGAATTTTCAGTTGTGACACGAAGATCTAAAGATTGGATGGAAAAGAAAACAAAATAAATAAATTAGTAAATGGGGTGATGGACCAACAGGGAACCGGGCAACTAGGAAACTAGAATTCTAAGACCCGGTTGGCTTGCCAATTAATTGCACAATCAATTAAATTCCACTTTGGTGTGCTTCCTACACCGGCAGCTGCCTTGTCTTGCTCCGTGTGTGTGTATATATATTTGCAGTACACTTCATTACGCATGATTTGCAATTCAATTACCCGAACCAGGGCAGGGACTCGGCCATCATACTCATAGACTGGCTGGCCCCCACGCCTCACAAGCGGACACGTAGCCTCGGGCCATGTCCGGGCAGTCAGCCAGTCGGAAATTGGATTCACAGGCTCCTGGCGTCCAGGCTCTGGGGGCTTTAGCTTCGAGGCACCAGCACACGTGCAGCCAAACCACACTACATCACACACATAGCAACACGCAGGGGAAGTACCTTTTAGGAAAATACTTACGCTGCCAGCTTTCGTTGGGATCTCCTCCATTTACCATCCGATGATCGCGTTCTCTCTCTCGCTCTCGCTCCCTCTCCCTCTCCCTGTCTCTGTCTTCGGGATGTCCGTGGCGCTTCCTTTGCTGTTGCTGGCCCGCCAACTGGCTGAGCAAAGTGTCCCTAGCCGCGTTTATCTCCTGCAACTGCAACTGTTTCTGCTGTTCCAGCAACAGGTGCTCCCTCTCTCTTTCCCTCTCCCTCTCCCTTTCTCTCTCCCTCTCCTCGCGGAGACGCATCTTGCGCTGCTCCCGGGACTCCCAGTCTCCGGAAGCACTGCCATGCTGGTCCAGGGAGGACTTGCTGCCGTAGAGATAGTGACTTGCCAGAGGAGTCAGGCCATCGGCACAGGGATTGCTGTTGTTACTTGCAACTTGTTGCTGCTGCAGTTGCTGCTGCTGCTGCTGCTGGGGGAAGTTGCGGTTCACAGGACTTCGGCCCACCCGCAGGATGTGCGGCTGTTGCTGCTGCGAGCGCTGACTGAGGCCATAGACCTGCTCCCGTTCCCTCTGTTGGTGGTAAGCCCTTCGCGACGAGGCATGCAACTGTTGCTGCTGTTGCTGTTGTTGCACCTCTTCGGTGGGTGAGTGCAACAAGGTACTGGCCCTCGTCGGTGGCACGGCCGCCGTCTCCCAGTAGTTCTCCTTGATGAAGGGATTCTGACTGCCACCACCCGATCCCGGGCCATTGCCGTTGTGCAACTGCTGCCTGCTGCTGCTGGCGGGGATGGCACCGTTGCGCTTCCTCGGCATACTGCTGCTCTCCTGCTGCACCGTGTGATAGTAAAAGGAGGCCGGATAGTCCGCTGCCTCGGCCTGCTTCTGGTCCTGCTCTTGATCCTGATCCCGGTCCTGGTCCTCCACCTGTTCTCCGACCTTTTCCGGGGACTCGGGAGGATTGCAAAGAAACGGATTCGTGGAGATACGCGGCGTCACCGACGACAGCGACTCTGAGGAGTGCGACGAGGCGGAGTGGGGTGGCGGGGACTGGGTTATTATGTTGACACTCTTATAGTAGCTGGTCGTGGTGGGCGTGGCCAGGGGCGGTGTGGTGTTGCTGCTGGCCAGGACCTCGCAGGCGGTAGCTGCTTCGCTGGCCAAAATGGGACTGTTGCTGTTGCTCCTCTCGCCTTTGTTGAGATTCAAGTCAGCCAGTAGTTCATGTCGCTGATGAGGATGTTGCTGTTGCTGCTGATGTTGCAACTGTTGCTGCTGCTGCTGCTGTGGCTGCTTTTCTTTAGGCTGCGTTGGCTGTGGCGGCTGCTGCGGTTGCTTGGGTCGGCACTTGGGAAAAAGCAAACTGATTTGATCGTTCAAGGGCGGCGATGGCGACAGCAATGCCTGCGACAAGTTCAAGGGTTGCTGGTACCCAGTACCTGTGTTGCTGTTGTCGCAATCGTGCTGTGTATCGCCGTTTAACGCATAAAAGTTGCTGTTGCGCGTTCCTGTTGCTGCTGCTGTTGCTGTGGTGGCAGTTGCCTGAGTCTGCAACCTCTGATACTGCTGATGTTGCTGTTGCTGCTGCAACTGCAACTGATGATGCTGCTGTGGCTGTTGTTGCTGTTGCTGCTGTTGCTGTTGCTGCTGCTGATTGTGATGATGATGATGATGATGATTACTGCTACTAGTTGTTTGTCCAGCAGCCAGTGTTGTCAATGTTGTGCTGACCATTATTGTTGCCAATAAACTGGAAAAGAGAGCAGAGAATAAGTGTTGAGAGTTAAAGAAGATTTAAAAGACTTAGAGGATAATGAATTATGCAAATTAAAAGAATTTGCATGCCACTTTCAAATGCTTTTATCGGTTGGAGAGCTCCACATAAGAGCCAACACCGCAACGCAACAAAGGCAATTTGCATGCCACATGCCACAAGAGATGCAGGAGCTATACGTGGTAGGTACTACGCAGGCAAATCGAATTCAATTTAAAACCAGGGACCCAGCATTAAGTGAACGGACACAGTGAACAGAGAGATACCTAGCGGACAGCGCGGACACTGTAGAAAGAACGGACACTCCAGAGCAACGGACAGAGCGGACACTATGGATAGATCATGGAACATATACAACGGACAGAGCGGACCCAAAACAATGTATACAACAGACAGAAAGGACCCTACGAACACAACGGACAAGCGGACAAACGGACAAGCGGACACACGGACTCACGGACAGACTGGCAATCGCTCAATGACATTGATTGGCTGCTGTATTGGGTTTCCTTTTTCTCTGTTTGGGTGGCAGGAGTATTTCGCATTTCATTTCAGTTCTCGCTCTCGCCCCGGGGCAGGACAATTAAATATTTGCCTGTCTTATGGCCGCCATTTGTTTGGGTCTCCCATTCCCATTCTCTCTTTATTTTTTTTGTCTTTTACTGGGAAAGCAGAAGCAAGAGCCCCCCTTGATGGTGGCGCTCCTGGAACGTGACCCGGCGACGGCGACAGAACTCGTTACTGTCACGCCCTGTTGCCGCTCGGACATGACAAAGGTTGACATTGCGCCTGCTTTATTAAAACAACTGCCAGCAGGACGTGAAGCGTGTAAACAAACGGCCAGGGGGGTGGTGTTTTAGAGGGGGGGTGCTGACCATTAAGCAATAACTAAAATAATGTTAAAGCCAAAGACTTGAAATCATCAACAAAAAAGTGACAGCCCATCAGCTCAGTGGGGCTGGTCGAAAAATATAGTAAACTGTAGATAAACTTTACAATAGTTTTTATGTTTTTTTTAGGTTTAGGGATATCTCTAGAAATATTTCCTTAAAAATAAATAAATATGTAAAGCCTTAAAGCCTCTTAAGCCTTTAATTTTTGAGGCCTAAGCCGCTTAAAGCAACAGCACGTGCCACAGAAACGAAATCTTGACCTCCAACCTCCACCACCCTGCTTCCACCCACATTCCAGGCCAGAGTCCTTGCCCAGGACTTGTTCCCCCCTCGCCACCCCTCTCTGCATGCTAATGTGTGCGTGTGCTTGAGGCTTAAAATATTTTCCCAACAATCAAACTAAAAATTCTCGAAAAGGATTAACAAAAACAAGAAAACAGGCCGGAGGGGGAGATGAGGCAGGAAAGCATCGAAAATACCCACAAGGCAAGCTTACACATACACACACACATGGGTATAGAAATTTTAAGGATATGTGTGTAGAGTTAGGATCCAGTTCGTCCTGCTCCTGCTCCTGCTTTGTGCACTCGCATGGAAAATATGTTTTCGTTTTCTGGAATGCCACACAACTGAGCCGGCAAAAGGAGCCAGCCTGGCACGCTTCGCTTGGCATTAAAACGCAGCCAGGATAATGGCAGGACTTTCCCAAAAAAAAGGGGGAGCATACTCCCCACCCTCCCTCTCTCTCTCTCTCTCTTCTATGTAGCTAACAAGGTAGAACAGAGCAGCCAGAATCCAAAAATCCGTATCCGTATTCCGGTGCAAGCAACAACATTTTCTTTACGGCTGGGCCAACATTTTCATTTCTCGACATTTATGGTAGGACCTGCTCATGTCCTTACGACCAGAGTCACGAGAGAGACAGAGAGATAGGGGGGAGAATAAAGAGTCCTGAACCATCTATCTGCCACTTCATCCATCTTTGTAGCTGCTCTTCGCATCAACATCAATCTGTCGCCTCAAATCCGTTTGCTGTTTTCATCCTTCCACGAGGCTCTTCGGATGCTTTTTTTCTGATATTTTTCGGGGGAAGGACCTACCCAACACCCTGGTCCTTGTCATGTCCTGAAATTTGATGCCTTGGCTGCGCTTAAGCAGAAGTCTGACAGCCTGTGAAAGGATTTCGATTGCCATTCCTTTGATTTACTTCGCAACGCGTTGACACTTTGACCGATTCAGCAGCAGGAGCAGGACGAAGGATACAGGACGAAGTACACAGGACGAAGTACACAGGACGAGGTACACAGGACGAGGTGTTTTTCAGCAGGATCAGAAAGAACACATCATCAGGATCTTATACAGAGAAGAAAAAAATATAGGAAGATGCTTTTGAATGGGTTTTAATAGAGCTTTGCAAGGATTTGCAATAGGACTCATGCTTGACTTCCTTTTTTAAATATTATTGAAATGTTTATCCTTCAAAAAGTTGATGAAAAGTCCTTGTAATTTAATCCTTTAACTGTTAACCCTTTTTTCTGCAAGTGTCTACTGGCATTTGTGCCTTTAAGCGATGTCAAGTGCGAGTCATAAAAATTTCATAAATTTCTCTTCCAGCCAGGACACCCACACATACACAAAGGACCCACACACTCACGACCTACACACACTCAGGTATATAATACATATGCACATATTCCGGCTCCTAGACCTGGGTCCTCGCAAGCTGCATAATTAAGTTACCAGGCACGAGGACGAGGACGAGGTCCTGAAACTGATGCTTGTGCTGGTGCTCCTGCTGTTGCTCTTGGTCCTGCGCGTCCTTGGAGTTTTATTAACTTAATGTCTGCTTAAACGATGCGTCGCTTGCCGCTCTTTAAATATTTAAAATTAATTCCAACCGGTGGTGCAAGTCAAGCCCTGCCTGCCTTCTCCCTGCCTCCCTACTCAGTCAATGAATCAAAATCAAAATCAATTGCCACCCTTGGGGGGGTTGGGCATTAGCTAGAGGGAGGCCAGTAAGGTCCTGGAGTCCTGATACCGTCATTACGGCCACATTGCGGCAGGACAACGACGTGGGCAATGGGTTAGATGCAATTACCTTTTGCCTATGATGGCATTAATTATGCAAAACAACTAACGCAGCGAGGAGTGGTCTATGGGGGCTCGGGGCGCTCAGGACGCCCAGTATTGTGGGAGGCGTGGCCGAGCTGGCTCCAGGACACGCAAGTCGTCCTCGTGCTCGTGGGTGGCTTTCAACTTTGGACGACTTCCTGGCCGTTGCATGCAATGCGCCGTAAATGAAACATGCAATTTATTTTAACCCAAATCGCAGGCTGTTTTTTTTTTGGATTTTTTTCTAGTCTTATGCAATTACACTCGAAGAAAACTTGACTACATTGTTTTATGTTTGAATTTGTGGGGGCTGTAGAAATGTTTAGGGGAGTTTCAGAAAAATTTTAATACATATTAAGGATTGTTTTCCTCCTTGCAGTTATTCTTAGAACTTAACCATCACGCTAGGGTTTCTTGTAGGGTTTCTTTTTTTAGAAGTAATTGCCCTTCAAACTGACCTAATTCAAGGCCTTCTTCGATAGCTTTGGAAAGCTTAGACTTTTCTTCACTTAAGGCTTCAACTGTTTTGGATAAAAACTATCCAAGTATTAGATGGAAATCCAGGAGGAAGGCGCTGTTGTTTATTAATTAATTTATTCCACACGTTCCCCCAAATATTTTGTAAATTTTAAAAGCATTTCCCGTTGGAATTAAGGCCCCAGGCTCAGAGTGTTCATTGCTCAAGGATTAATTCAATTATGGAAAAAAAGAGACGGAAAAATGGCACCCAAAAAAAAGGAAAGAGACGGCCAGATGGGGAGTGAGTGAGAGGCAGAGCCATTCACTCGTTAAGCATTCGTGTGGGAAAATTGTCGCTAAGCGGATTTGAGTGCAGCGCGTGAAAATTGCTGCAATTTGGGTTAAAAACCATTTTGGCTAAGAAAAAATGCGTCCGACAGAGACAGCAAATAGGGCTAAAAGGGGGGGTGGTGGCAAGTAAGGGGGGTATTTAATGTAAAATGCCGCATGACAAAAGCACACAACGATAAAAGAAATTGAGGGGGAGGCTCAGAAAACAAAAACAGAAACACATTCACGAATGGAAGGCAGAAAGTGTAATGAAAAGTGAAAGTGACTAAGATACTTTTTTCCTAGTCACTCTTCTCTCTTCTATTTGTTGTTGTTCCTGCTCGGATGATGACGTCGGCAAGTTGTAATGTTGACAAAAACAACAGCAACAACAACAGTAACAGTAAAGAGAGAAATTGTACCGTTTTGCCAAAATGAAAATGGCAACACGCAAAAATGGCGAGAAAGGACATTTTTTCGGTGAGGGGTGGGGATGGAATGGCGGTAAAGGAGATGCAAAGAAAGATGGCGAATAAAGTGCAAAGCAAACAAAGAGGAGGACACAAAACACGAGGGTTGACGTTAAAGTTTTTACAAAACAGGATAACAAAATGTAATATTAAAATAAATAAAATAAAGAATTCAAGAAAGAAAATCAAGAATCGAGAAAGGAGTTGCTTTTTTTATTTATTTCTTTTAAATGTTTAATTCAAATATTTATTTCTATGTATTATTTATTATTTCTAATTCTGTCCCATCTATGAGAATCGAGGAGAAAGGCACTTTATTTAAAATGGCTGAAGAATGGCTTTTATTTTCTTAAATGGAACACACCGGAAAGATAATTCATCTTTCATTAATCGGATGGGGAGTGACTACCCCTCCGCCAAGCTACTAATCATCATCTCAAGGACACCGCAAGTCTCACAAAAGAACTATTAGGAACAGAGGCCTGAATGTGAACAACTTTTGGAGCCACCCTCCGCCAGCCTCGAGCCGCGCCACATGCCGTGCAAATAAACACAAACACACACAAATCAAATTTGTTGCATGCCCCGAAAACACACGAGGGTTGAGAGTTGGAGCGTGGAGTGACTGGATGAAATGTTTTTTCGACTAACTGACTGACTGACTCATGCTCAGGTATATAGACTCTATACACGTGTGTGTGTGTGTATCCTT